CTTCAAAATTTCGCAATTGGCTTTTCTCCAAAAATGAAAATTCTGTCATCATTTACTCTGTCATCTACTAAACCTGCATGAGTTTCTTTCTTCTGAAGATATTTTGAAGAATGTTGGTAACCACAGTTGACGGTAGCCATTGACTTCTATAGTATGGAAAAGATACTATGGTAGTCAGTGGCTACCGTCAACTGTTTGGTTACCCACATTCAATATATCTTCTTTTATGGTCAACAGAAGAATGAAACTCATACAGGTTTGGAACAACTTGAGGATTACGACATTTTCAGCAAATTTTCATTTTTTGGAGAACTATTCCCTTAACCTCTTCGACAGCAGACTTCTTGCGACAAGGCATTCACGTAAATGCTCAAACTGCAAGCCATGAGTTCTCAAAAAACGTGGACAAAAGGAAACAGTAAACAGTAAAACTTGCAGCAACAAACAACAAAACCTGATAAACTGTTCAATGCCTTTCCACTGTTTGTCTTTACTGCTAACATTCATGCATAAGGACTAATTCTATGAAAGAAAGAAAGAAAGAAAGAAAGTCTTTTTACAAGCACAACAGTAGTAGAAAACATAAATTTGTTATATACAATTTTAATATTTACCTTTTTTTTTACTATTACTACTAAAATCTTTCTTGTCATTCCAAAGTTTGACATATCCTCCATCACTTGTGTGTTCATTTAATAAATATTTGAGCTAACTTAACAACATAAACTACAATTAACATATTTTAAAACCAAAGTATGTGCAAAAAGTGTGTATTCCATACGGGCCTACTTAACACATTCTTGCACAGCAAAGTCATATGTAGCAACTCCAACACAAGAAGCATTAAATAAATGTGTGAATAAAGGAGGATAAAAATAAAAATAGCCGAGCTCCCATCACGGGGCCCATTTCTCTCTCAGTGGCCATGTGCTGGGACGACTGAGGAGTTAATACAAAACTAATTAGCAAAAATTGACTGGTGCCAACCCCCCTCATTCCTTTTCCTGCCTCACTACGCAGGGGGACAGTGGTAAGCCCAGAGCACAGGTGTACCGCTCACGCCAGCACTAGATTACTGCCCACTGCCTCTGCGCTCAAAGCCCTTCACCGCACTCCCCAGGCCGCAGTTATGTCAGAGAGGAAATGGAGTGTGATGAGCAGCATTTAAAAAAAACTGTGCATGTTTTGCACGTCGTAAAAGAAAAACACAATCGTTTTTAAACCACAACAATGAAAGCAATGCGTTAATGCACGGTTGAGACCCTATGTTGGGCGCCAACTAACGTGGTCCAAATCTGCGAGGAAAGATCGGCACTGACAATGCACATTAAACGGATTACACGAATTTGCCTCGCAATCAGGTTTCGGAGAAATTCACCCACTAAAGGCAAGTGGCTGCGCAACAAAACATCTTACAGTGTTTCCCCCGTCCCAGAACCATCTGCTTCGTTTAATCCAATCACATTGCAGCAGGAGAAAATGGTTCAAAAGGAGGTCAAATGCAATGATATTAAAACTGACTGTGCTGTATCCCATCATTGGATCCGAGCTGGTTCTTCAGCACTGGGTCCGTGCCAGAGTGGCGTTTGCACAATCCGGGCAGAAAAGATAACTTGTTGCATGATGTATTTTTATGAATGGCCGACAACCTCGTTTTTAATGAATGGTACTGTGTGAAAGAGCACAGTGGCATGGTCATTGTTGCAGTAACAGGGCTGGTCGGTGGGATTTAGCGAGCAGAAAGCAGGGGAGGATGGGTGCGAGGGGGTGGGGAGGTCCCAGCCCACAATGTGTACTGCAGTAACCACAACAAAGGCTGTGGTTTATCCCACAATCGCCTTAAATAGATCCAAATTATTGTTGTTCCTCAGCCTGTGGAAAGGAAGAGGAATATAAAACGGCTGTAACACAAGATGTGCCAAAAGTCAGCCTGAAGATATCAGCAGATTCGGTTACTGGCACACAAAAAAAAGTTCTACGAATCGACGGCTTGCTGTAGCCTTTGACTGGCTTTTGCAAAAACTTTCAGCCAGCTTCCTAGAACTTAATACGAATTTACAAAAACTTATGACAGTGCACCTTGAGCATGCGTCATCAAAGCTAACTAGTTTTGAAAGACACACTGTACAGTAAATCTGTTTAAGAGCTCACATGGAAGTGGGTCAGACGTCTTTACAAACATTACACACGCAAACGGTTTGTTCAATGCGGCTCCGGGTCAATTAAGGTAAGTCTAATATAAATATCTATCAGCCTGGCTGGAAATGTACACACGGGCCCGGTTGAGCATTTGTTATCTATCTGCACCAGCGGTATCCTTCTATTGTGTAGTGAGTCTGAAAACACTGGAATGAGACACAACTACAGTTCACAGCAAGTGAAATTGCATTTAGTTGACATATATAATGACAGGAAATCTAATTGAGTTTTTCATCAAAATAAGTACTTATTAATGCATCTTTTTAATTCTTAATGACAACACAATATCCTTTTTTCCCCAAAAGTAATAATTTAGACTTTAACCTGAATTTGAATGGGAAATGAATCTTAATCTTACATCAAGATGATTTTAAAAATGAAAGAAATGATTTTAAAAATTAAATAAAATAAATTACTAAATACATATTTATTTTAAAATATTTTAAAGGTAACTTGTATGATAAAATACCCCAAAATAAATTAAAGAAATAAATAAATATTGCAAGGGAAGGATTGTGAGCTCATAACTAAATAAATAAATTTAAAAAATCAGTCTTAAATGCAATGTAACTATGATTTTGCAAACAAAACAAAGAAACAAGCTGCCTGATTTTCATGTACTTAAAAGGAAACAGTCACTGGTGTAATGTTAGTCTGGGTCTCCACGGCTATTAACCCCTTTCGGCTGGTTTAAACGGCACACCACTTTGTGGCCCAAACAAAACCACCTGTTTTAACAGGAGGTCAAGGGGGCAACCCAAAACCAAAGCTTGCCCTCCGCTTGACTGGCTGCTAATGGGAGTGGATGTTTATCTAGGAGGTCAAATGCCTTGAAGATGGGTCACGACCCTAACATCTTAAGCCGTGACCTCTCCCACGTGTGGAGTGCTACTGTCGTAAATTAGCCACGGTTACACGTCCTCAGGCCTCAGTGAACACCACATTTGTGTCTTCTTCTAGTTCTCGTGTTACTTTCTGTCAAGAGATTTATGGCATCGGACTAAAATTATGAACTGCGTGACTACTGAGATTAGAAAAATGGGTTTTTAAAATACATGTTCTAAGAAATCAATTTCAAAAATCCGGAAAAATATTGAAAAAAAAAATCAAATACTGAAAAATTGTGCAAAAATGTAGAAGTACAAACTTTTAACTTTAACATATTATATGAAAAAGATTGAAAAATATTTTTAAAAACTATCAGGAGTGCAAAAAGACTGATAAATATTGCAATATGGAAAGAACTGAGAAATACAAGCTAAAACTTACATAAGAACAATTGATTTTTTTCTGAAAAACTATTAAATAGAGAAATTCAAACTTAAGCTCACATAAGTAAAATACAAACTCAACCTTGCAAATGATAAGAAAAAAAGATTTAAAAACTATTAAACATTAGTGAAAATATTGAAGAAATATTTAAAGAACTGAGAAATACAAAGTTAGACTTACATATTCTATGAAAAATATATAAAAGCAATGAACAATAGTGAAAATGTTGAAGGACAAACCTAAACTTACACATGTTGAACATTACTGCAAATATATTGAAAGAATTGGGAAATACGAACAAGCTCACATATTATAACAAAAATATTGGTGAAAAAATGCAAATTACACCAGAAATACAAACTGAAAAGTCAAACTCGTAACTTATTTCTATTGTTCCTCTCGTGTATTTAAGTTTTCAGTTTACCTAGATTGTACTGAATCCTCTCTTCCGGCAATTTCCCCTAATATCGATAGGTAGCTGTATTATTGTCTAGATGAAGTGAGTGTGTTTGCTGGCCTGCACCCCTTTGCCCTGGCAAGACTGTGGGATAAATTTAATTACGGACTTTAGCTTCTCTCAGAAGCCCCACTTTCGCCATCTGTGTATGAGGTCAGGCTCTCTTCAGATGGCTTTTAATCAAGGGGTCTCCAGCAATGCTCCACTGCTTTAAATAAGACAGAGGAGGAAACCTGATCGGCGCGTATGCAGGTCAGAGACGAGGAGAGAGAGACTCCCGCGTCTTTCTTCCTCTTGTTTTCTCGCTGAAGTCTCTTATTCACCATCGAATCAAAAAGAAATGGTAACTTCGCCGATTAGGATGTTAGCAGGACGCTCCCCACTGAATAGGCTTTCAGAACATCAAAACTAAAAATTTCGGCGGGCCACGGGGGAAACGCGTTTCAGTGACGGTGTCGTACTTATCCTCACAAAAAGCTCAAAGGCTCCGGGCCTTTGTGTTCCCACCAAGTCAAAGTAATTCACACGCTCCCGTTTTGCAACCTGCCGTCTGCCAGATACCCCATTTTTCCGCCGCGGCGCTAAAGCTCACGTTTTATGGCTTTATCTCCGCCGTCTTCGGGTTACACGGCGTTTTCATTCTTTTATCGGTCCCTCATCAAAGCGTGAGTCCGTACGGAACGCAGGGAACGGTGGATACGCATGCTGCCAACTCGCTCAGTGCCACAATTTGCGTGCGAGAGGAAATGAATGTAATTAAGGTGCTCAGTTTGCCTGGTGAAACAAAGTGCGCTTCTTGACTTCCAAGTGAAAGCCTGTGTTTGTGCCGCTGTCAGTGCAAGATGGATCCCCTACCGCCTTCTGCCAATTAACAGTCGCTCCGTCAGATATTTGCACCGGACTTTTCCATGTTAGCTTCTTGCAGGTAGCAATCAGCAGGAATAACTTCAAATAAATCACATTATATGTTTGATTTAAACATAAAATTCACTCTCATTTACATATTCAGTTTTTTTTGCCATATGTGGCATAAAGGAAATGTTATAATTCGATTTGAGTTTAATCCGACGCACTTATCCTATATTTCCCAGATTCCTTATTGACTGCTGATGGATTGTAAACAGTAAAATCCTAAAAGAATTGAAGTGCAATCCATTATGATCATTTGCGTTTCACATTTTGCATACGTTCAACAGATTTAGTGAATTCAAAACGGGACTTACCTGCATGCACAAAGTAGGCCAAGTACAGGTCGAGCTCCTTTACGGAAACTCCTATGTGATGCGGCTGCACGCACAGCCCTGGATTCGAGCACTGCTGAGACTTAACCAGTCTTTCGCCGTCAGTACTTTCAAGCGGAATACCTTTGAGTAAAATCACCATGACCAGGTCCAAGCGCCACACTTTGTCCGCCTGACGCAGGCAGTCGATTCTCCTTATCTTGCCCTTCTGGTCGGGGTTGGAGAGCACACAGCAAGGGGGCTTCTTCCCGGTGACAGTGAGCACAAAATCCTCGCGGAACTCCGGCCGGATGTCCTTGCGGAGTTTGGCCAGCAGCCGCGATGCCCACTTCTGCTTGACCTCCGGCTTCTCGCTGAGCAGCTCGTCCTTTACAGCTCGCTCCTCTTCCTTAGACATGCGCTTCTCGTGCTTCTTGAAGTATTTTCTCTTGCGGGCCTGCAAGTTGAACCAAGTGTAGGAAAACGCTTTCACATGGGGCAGCAGTGCTTCAATGAAAGGATGGAATTCATCCTGCGAAGAAGGACAAGGGAGCAAAAATTTGACTGTATGGCTAGAGTTAAAGTTTTAGAAACATCCTTAAAAATATCTTTAAAAAATACAAAGTTACTTTTTTTTTCCTAAAAAAAAAACAACTGTAATTTTTCAAAAAATCCAAGCTAAAGTTAAAAAATAACAGCAGATTTTTCACAGCAGACACCATGAAAGCGAAACATGTACGTCTACATAAAATCCCATTTGATTACTTTGAAAAACGGCCCTCAACTGACTGTGTCTATGAACCGAGCAGGGCAGTGTGTGTGTGTGTGTGTGTGTGTGTGAAGCTCGTCTAGGACATATCTTGGCTCTCTGGCAAGAATGCTGGTCTGTAGGGGTCTGCCAGGGCCGAGAAAAAGCAACAACCGACTAGGAAAATTGGAGTGGCTATTTTTATCTGTTCTCCATAAAAATGCACACACGATTCCAAAAAAACGGAGCTACTTCATTCGCTATCAGTGAGGAGTGTGTTGTTTTCAGACAGGAGTGTGTGCGGGGCAGATTGTGCCGGGTTTTGGGATCCCTTCACCTGCCGCTGGTGCACAACCTGGCAGAAAATCAATTTTTAAAATATAATGACAAAAAGATCAGCGAAATATCGGACGCGGCATTAAAACATCTTTTTGTACATGGCAAAACTCCTTCTTTCAGTGGATATATTCATGCAGGGATTTAAAAAAAAATCTACAATAGGAAATATATTTTAATATTTGCAGAATATTCTTGTATATAACGTGAAATGCAGTTATTAAGGAAAGCTGCAAAATGCAGTAACTGTTAATAAAGGATTTTTTTATTATACAAACTTGAAGCATTTTTAATACTGTACATGTGCTTGGTTATTAAAATAGTAAATATCCAATGCATGCTTTTCTGTATTTGTAGGCCTGCATGTCCATTTCTTTAATGCCTTAAAAAAACAATACACAATAATAACTGGGCAAATAAATAACGTGCGGTTTCTAATATGAAATAATTTGGGATTTTACACAGAAAATAACTCAGGGTTTTTATTACATAGAGAGAATAATGGCAGACTGCCAATCACTAGAATAACATTTCCACAAACAGCAATAGCCCTGCATCGTGTCCCAAAACCGAGCGTGCGAGAGCATGAGAGGGCTGCCAGCAAGCAAGCAAAGTGCACTATGTGCTGAGTGCAGATTTCATTTGAATAAGCACAGATATGAATATAACGCGCTGGGCCTCGGACTAGTGCCTTTAGAAATTTAACAATTAATTCGGCATAATTTAGGAACGTTAATTAAATGAATTTCTCAGGCCAATTTCAAGCACTGCTGATAATGGTTTTTTCGTAATTAAAAATAATCACAATATGCCATTGAGCAAAAATAAATAAATATTACAAAAAAACAAACAAAAATATTTTAATAATTATGGAGGTTTATTAAGCTGCAGATTGAAATAAATGTAGTGTTTGTGTAAGATTACTACATGTCATATTAATTATAGCTGTAGATTCAACAGCAGACTTCATATGGATACATATTGTCATATCTCTTTTGTTACACCACAGGAAATTGAGGATTTGCATAATCATATATCATTATTATTATAGAGTATGGCACAACGTGTGTGTGTGTGTGTGTGTGTGTGTGTGTGTCTCCTGTGAGAACGTATATGTTTAATCATATTGTTTCCTTCCTGTCTTGTTCAAGAATCAAACTCCCTTGCCTCCGAGGCATAAAAACTGTATTGTTTCATCCTGCATTTAAACCAGTGAATGAATTAAAGTAACTTAATCCAAAATCTGTGAAATATTGTTCCTCAATTACTGATATCATCTATTGTTGTGTTTTTATTCATGTATATTATATGCTTTTTATTTAATTTTTTAAAGGATCTGTTGCAGACTTGTCTACGCTCAGACTTCTTGTAAAATTGCTTGGGAAAAAAATCAATATGGAAAATCTCCGGACGAGAATCGAGCTCTCTACTGCAAAAACATGATGTTAACTTTTTGCAATTCTCTAGCGATGTTTTTAAATAAAACAACCGACTGCTAGAATTATTTTGTGGATGATACACAACAGAGCGTAATTTAACATGCAAATTATAATTATGAGAGCGTCCAGAAAGCTTGTTTTCTTCTTTTGTTTTAATTCTAGCAATTCATGAAAACCGAATTCTACATGCTCGTAGCGGCAGAACAAACAGCTCTTCACTTTTTGGAGCGTGCCTGAGTGTCAATATAGGGTCTGGTTAGCATGTCAGGTTTTTCCAGACTCCTAAAGTGTTTCAAGCTGAACCTCGCTGTCCTATAGGAAGGCCTCAGCAGGGAACAATAGTGCCTCGTGGCCAAAAGAGACAAGAGAGTTTTAACACATGCAAAACTATTACGAAAAACCGACAATGTGAATACACAGTTCACCTAATATGACGTTAATACAACGAAAGGCCAATGTATATTTATGCATAAACTAAAATACGTAAAAGTGTTGAAAATGTGTTATTTGGATTTTAAGGATTTTACTATAAAATGAAAGCAGTATACAGATGTGATTTTTGGCATTCAGAAGACTACATGAGTCCTTAAAAATGACACACACACACAGAGAGAGAGAGAAAATAGACCTCATACTGCCTTAACACCGTAACAGAGAGGAAATCAATTGCCCGTCTCAATTATCATCAATGCAACTAAGATTTAATAATATTACTGTCAAATTATATTCAAAAGAAAGGACACAGTGCTTTCTTTTTTTTTTTTGTAAGACTGTAAGCTGTTTATCACAGAGTGCATTATTGCTCAAAAATCTGAGTATCATTTTTTTTAATAAGTACTGTTTTTAGCAACAAATATTGGTACTCAAGTAAATGAAATATATGAGCTATATCTAAGTTCTTATGTGAGGTTTCAAGTTAGTGATATTGTATTACATTTACTGTGACTGATAAATTATGAAAAGCTTCCCCACAGTTTTGCATGGATTTAATAGAAATAAATAGTTATAAAAGAACTTTTGCGAACATATCCAAGTCTTACATTATCAATTCGATATAAAGACGACTTCAAAGTTTGAGAACTTTCTCAGCTCGTCTTTCTCCACACATTACACATAATTTGTCTTTTTTTCGCATGAATCCTTTCCAGTATCTCCAAACAAACTGTAACTAACACGGTCAAAAGAACGTCCCTATATGCGACACAATACTGAGGCCTTCTCCTTTGTTTTGTGCATTCAATAAAATGCACTTAACCAAACAGTTTAAAATCACGTCAAGACTACAGTATAACACTACAGTTTTTCCAGAACTGTCACCTCACTTCACCTGCCACCATGATTCACACAATGAATGTTTTTAAAACCTCTTTTAACCCTTTCAATTGCTGGCCAACTTTAGTTTTATTCTGTGCTAATTACTAAAGTACGATGAGCAACAAACAAACAGCACTGTGCATATATATATATATATAAGTAAGTTATCAAGCATGACAGCACCAAATGTCTTAACTTAAAAAAAACTTATACTCAACTTATCAATATTTAGAACTGCTGCTAAATATCAGAAATATAGAGACAGTGAAGCTTGCAAAAGACTAAATCAGAGTTTCTGCTGCCTTGAAGAAAAAGTCTCATAAGCAGCAGAAAAGCTTTTTTTTGCCGGCAGCTGGTTCAAACTAATGTTAACACAGAAAACGGCATAGTTGTATTGATACTTAATAACAAAACGCACATAAATATAAATATTCTGATCTCAAAAATGTGTTTAAAGGTGCAGACGTTAATGTGAGGTTTTAACCTCAAAAAACAGCTTGGTGTCATAGCAGAAGCTTTTCAAGTCATGCAAAGAGTTTTTATTTTGTATTTCTCGAGTTCTGGTGCTTTAAGAAACCCGGAGTGCTGTGAAAAACCTACAAATGCAACATCAAGAACTTTTTAATCCCCAAATAACCATAAAGCAACCTAATAAGAAGAGCTTACTTTGCTGAATCGTTAAAGATCAATTTTAAAGATCAAATGTGCATAACGTTGACTCTGCGAGTTCAGTGTAACGTTTTCTTTCATGCACAGCGCTCAACTTGCTTCATATCAACGTCCGTCCCCATGCAAAAAGCGGCTAGAATAAAATTCAGCTGTACATAAATGTGCACAAGAAACATATTTGTGTGTAAGGTGGGCGCCATCCGCCATGTGGTAATTCAGTTGGCTCTGTCAGAGCAGAAATGCCTTAGCGCACACTAAGTTACTTGTCTTAAGCAAAGGTTAGTCCCTATCCGTGCTGTCCCGGCCAAAGACACCGCTCAAACGCAACAAACAGAGTTAATAATAGACGAAAATGTCACTTACCTGTGTTAGGCATAGCGGAGAATACATATCTGTCGGTTTTAATTCTTGAATTGGCGATGTATATGTTGTGTGTGTGTGTGCGTGTGTGTGAGTGAGGGTGTGTATGTGTGAATGTATGGGGTGTGTATGTATATGTGTGTATGAAAAGAGAGAAAAAAGAGAGACAGAGAAGAAGGGAGAGAGGGAAAATAAAGCCTTGCTTCTTGCTTTCACATTTCCAACTCTGCGAAGTGCGCGCGACGCTTCAGCGCTCCATAGAGCTGAACTTTAACCCCGCCTCGAGTTACACACATCTACTGTACTGTACTGTTAAAGCCGTATATCCAAACTTTCGGCATTATCATCAAGTGCAGCCTTAGAGAAAAGTCCCGACGACGGATGGATGGAAGTACACGGAGATTTCACAGAGCCATAAGTGAAACTGTGGTGATGAAGCGCCGAGAGGAGCGATTATTTCATCTTGCGGTCATTTGAATAGAAAAAAAGGATAGAAAAAGTCGTCCGGATGCGTTATAAAACTCGCGTTTGGTTCATTCTTCGTTGTCTCTTATAGCGCCGCGCCGCGCGCTTGCATCCGCCGTGAGGCATGTGGCGGTGCGAAGCAAAACTGAGGCGGATTTACGAGCAGCGAGGAGGGCTCGGCATGCTTAGGAAGATTGTAATATCCTTAAAACCCCCTGTTGCAAAAGCTGCCACTTGTGTCGCGGTTAGTTTCGACCTGAGAGAGGGGGAGAGAGAGAGTCAGAGAAAAAAAAAGTGAAGCAAGCGCACGATTCGAGTCCGCTGAGACGAAGCTCCCGTTCACTTTTGCCGTTCAAACTCTTGGGCTCTTCCATCAGCACAGCGCCCTCAATATCGGCACGAGAGCCATACACATGCGGGACAAGAGAAATGCGCACTCCCAATGCCGTTGCACTTCGTGTACACCAAGTAGCCTATTGTAACGCAGAAAGTATGATGATGAATTTAACTTACATCTTTAGCCTGCAGTTGATGTCTTATAAACAAATTTTAAACAAATAAATAAAAGAGTACTTTTGAGAAATAAACGGCTGGAAAAAATAAGACATTCGTATCGCATTCACTACCCTCAGTAGTGTGTTGCCAAATGATAAAATAATTTCAGATTTTACAAATCAGCAATCATTTTAATGCAGTTCTTGCAAAAGGTGCGTTTGCACATGAATGTTTAGAGGCAGCATAAGGGCAACTGATTCTGTATGCATAATTTCAAATACTAAATCAAATGTAACATTTATTAATAATAAAAAACTAAAACACTGATTATAAAAAATGCTGCGTATGCTTAAATAGGCTACACGTTGTCATTTGAAAAACCAATCAGAAGATTTAAGTCTCAAAAGCCTTAAGTGCAACATTACACAATACTTGCTTCATTTCGAGTCAGACCGGAAGTGATAACTTTAGTTTGTACGCGAAATCCATATTTATTTCTAATGATTTAATGAACTGGTTCAAAAGAGCCAATCGTCGGGGAACAGAACAAGCATGGTCAGGCTGTGTGCAGTTGATTCACTAAAAGAATCGACTCAAAAGAGTCATTCGTGTGAGAATCGGACTACACTTTTTGCGTTTTACGTTTAAAATTCACTAAAAAGAGTGTCATTCAGTTTGGTAATCGCACTATACTGCTCGCGCAATGTTTATGATTCACTAAAAATAAGCAGACTGCAATGCACGTTCGAAAACATTTAGCCGCATCGAACGTCATTAGCTAAAAAAAACGTTGCGTTACGAATTATCGCGGGATAAATCGTTTATAACTCTAGAAAAGCGTTCTTTTCGTTGCTACAAGAGCAATAAATAAATGAACGCTTATTTTTGTTCCTTGTGCTAATGTATGTTCATCCAAACCCAAGTATTTCACATGCAGCATTTCTTTCCTCATGTGTTGAACATTGTTTCAGAATATTTTGAAACGGCCAGTTATAAGCACCAATGTTTTCAGAATCAACTTTCATTTCTGAGGCCCGTCTTGAAAGTATTTCAGACTGATTGTGCGGCTGACATGTTCCTTAAGAGCATATGCATATTAATATTTATATCTGAGATTTTGATATTTCAAAGAGCCAATGAAATAGACCACACAAAATGAAATTGTGAATGTTTTATAAAAGAATAACACAGCTAAATCCATCTGAATAACTTCAGTGATTACAAAGTAAGAAATGGACACTGATGGATAGGAAAGCGACTGCCAAATGCAATGTTATGTTTCTAATCACGTGTACCGAACGTGCAAACATCATTAATAAGCAAACCTAGCTCATGTAATTAGTTTGGTTGGCACTCAACAGCGTTTTATTATTAACCAACTACTCTCGCATGTAAGTCAATCGGGCGCCCCCTAGAAAACGGCAACGTGCAGGCTTCATTTCAGCACACACTGAAAAGTGCTTTCCAGAAAGACAGGATGATATTCTAAATGAAATATTAGTCTGTTGGAGACAAAAATAAACACTATATTCCATAAAGTCAAGCATTTGATGTGCATTAAAATGTGTGTGAGCATCAACCTGTAAACAAACATCAAGGTGAGTTTTGTTAAATCTAAGATAGGCGATGATTAACAAAACACTGTATGATAGAAAAGATAGGAAACTGGATATTAATTATGCTCACAACTCGCAGTCACACTAACTTGCTGCAGGTGCACGTCCGTCCCCTCCAGTGTTTTCAAGAGCTACTCTGTGATTGGACAAAACAGTGCAATTCAAAACTCACGACGCCGCTATTGGGCAAGTTTCACGCGCATGTGACGGCAACCACTCCCGCACGCCGCGAGACGAACTCACTCAGACAGCCGGTTTGTCGGTAAACAGCCTCGCGGAAACACAAATACATTCGATTGGGAATAGAGAGAGCGCTTATCTTCATGATATCAGACTTCCGTTTTGTTTTGACAGCCTGACGGGAATGCAAAGGCTCGAAATGTGCAACACGGTCTTTCAGACCTGACGCTAAAATGTGTTGTCTCAAACATTAAGATGTCGTAGCCTATAAAACTGACACATTTTGATGATTACAGATTAATGGAAATAAAAGCAATTATTTTGTATTTGTTGTTTCCAAATATCTTATATTGTCTTGACCTTGAGCGAAAAGGAAGTGATAGCTAAATGAACTAGGCTCCTGTCAACCTTGTCACTTACCTCAATAGCCCATATATGATATATTTTTCTTAAATTTAACTTGAGATGGCGCAATCAAATTTATTAGAACTTAAATATCATCTTTGATAGAATATTTCAAATATTTAAAGAAATTTGTTGTTGTTGTTGCACCCATTTATTAGAAATGATCCTTCATAAACATACACACACAACAGTTTTTGTAGTAGGCTAAAAGCAACGGGGGGAAAAGCATGTGCCGTTCTCAAAAAAACACAAAAACGTTCTTTTCCACTCCTGTATATTTGACAGGTACCTAGGTGTGCAACTTGGACTTGGTCTGGAGCACTAAAGTTGCAATCGATTCTGCAGGTCGCGCTTGTTTAACTCCGCAAACGTATTCATTTGAACGGGAACTTAACGGTAACGGGTTTCGACGTCTCGCTTGTCAAGACTTGAAACGGGAGTCGCGTGGCATCGTTCATTTTTACACGTGAACTGCGTGTCGACAGATCAGCACCTGTATTTAATTATGCAGCCTTTACAAAACTTAAAAGCGGCCTATAGAAAATTGACGAGAATTGGATCAATTATTAAAATATTCTGATTTTTAGTTTGCAGTGCTTTTGGAAAGTCGAAATTAAATGTATATTAATAAACACCGGATATTAATTGATTTGTGGAGCTTCTTAAAATGCCCACTCAGGCCTAAAAGTGCTGAGGACTGAATTCAAAACTCCAGTCAGAGATATTAAGGTATTTACAATCACAGATACGTGCCTGTACGTCATTTAATTTACATTTACGCACTGATTTCAGCACTGATTGGCTGAACAGCGCCTATAGGCCTACGAACTGTTCATTTAAGAAGTTCACGGGAAGAGTCAGGTGAACTGCCTCAACTGAAAACTATCAAACAAAAAAAAGCAGTTTAGGAGGTATTTTTCTAGAATGACAAATAAATAGATTAGCGAAAAGTTTAACAGAAATTTACATGACTTCATATTCACTTTGAAAAAGTTCAAATTAATGTCATTGCACGTTGTTATCTGAATGACCCTGCTTTTTTTTTACACTAGATTTAGGCTTAAATATAACTATTAATTTATCTATTCAGACTCTAGACTGTAGGCCTAATTCAAATCGTGGTATTATAAAATAAAAACGTTATTAAAAATGAAATATATTGTTGTGTGTTGTCTAACAATGAAATGAGCTACAAAACTTAGACCGTTTATTCAGGATTGTTTTCTGTTGGCCTTTTATGAAGCAAGACCAATGTTATCAAGCGACAATCATTATCATTTATAACAAAAATCTAAAATTCACATAATTTTGTCTCGTCTAATTGTGGGAGACATTAGAGACGCCTTTATAGTATATTCTGCCAAGTTCTACGAGAAGGCACTGAATGCCAAGGCAACTGTGCCAAGGCTTTTGGAGGCAGAGTGGCAAAGACGAAGCAAAAACTGCAGTGTGTACAGGACAACGGAGCGAACTACAGGGACTGGACTCTTCGAAACAAACTATAATTTGGGTTTTATTGTGCATTTTCAGCTCATTTTTAAATGTGGCAAAAGTCACGGGACCAAATCAGGTAAGGCACTTAACCCACTTGGATGGAGTTTCTCCCTAACTTGTGTGGTGGACGTGAGTACAAATCACCTTTTTTTTATTCATTATTAGCACAAAAGAAAGAAGAAGGGGAAAAAATGAATAGGCTACATCTGCAAGGTTTTATTTGAGAATCCGTTCGGGCTTTAGCGGGTGCGAAAGGGGGGGTGGGGTTTAAGTTTCACTGAACATCTCGATGGTCTTCAGGGGTAAAAAGGTATAAAACTCAGCGTTAGATCGCCATCTAATGAAAAACTATCCTCAGTGTGACTAAAAACTTATTGTGTAAGAAGTAAAAAAAAAAATGAAGCAACTTATCCATTTGGTTAATGTTGTTTATTACTTTAAGTGGACCCAACAAACATAACAATTAAGCAAGCATTTTTTTAAATAAATCACTTCAATAAGCAGCTGCGAGAACTTGACAAATTCTACAGATGATTTCTTTAGCACTTCGCATGAATGACAATTTCCATTTTACTTTTAAAAAACGAGATTTCTTAATATTACGCAAGTGCTGT